GATACACCTCAGTCATCTTCTTCTTCTGCTTGATGTACATAATGAGGACAATAAACAGGATGACATTCCCGGCCATCCCAATCAGGAAGATTACTGTGTAAAATGATGGTAAGAACACTTTGCTGAAGGAGAGCACCTCCTCTTTGGTGCAGAGGCCATACTGCCCATAATCCTCCTCATCCATGTACTCATATGAGTAGTTGCTTGAATTGGCAGCATCCAGCCAGATGTCAGTGGCTGTTGTTGTCATCTTTGAGGTTGTGTTTGACAAATGGCTGCCTAGAAGCAAAAGACAAGGGAACAGGATCAAAACATTGTTCCAATCCACACAGGAACATCACATCATGGAGGGTTTTCCTTTAGTTCATAGGTTTAAATTTCTGCCACTTTCTGGTAAGTAGTTTCTGTCCTGCACTCCTTAGCCTTTGCCTAAGCACAGGGACAATTGTCTACACATACATATAAAAAAACCCCAACACTAATTCTGCTTTCCTTACTCCAGCACAATAAAACTTGAAAGTCAATGAGCATAGTCTCCTCTGACATAACTCACTACTTCCTCCTGACACCACCACAAGCTTTTGAGGAAGTTTCTGCCCTAAATTACAGGAATCCACTACCACACCTCACTGTGAGCTGCTGATATTCACCTGGGTCACTATTGAGAAAACACCTCAGATCTTGATGAATCAGAATCTGCCACCAGCACCTTTATGTTAGTGGGGCTGTTCTCAGAGGTGAAACGCTGAATATCTCACTGCTCCTGGTAGGACACTGACTCCTCTCCATGCCAACTCTAGGACACCAAGCCGTGGATTCTTGTAAAAGGTATTAGTGAGTGGAAAATATAGAATCCTAGATTCACAGAATTCCAGAATGGTTTGGATTGGAAGGAACCTTAAAGATCATCTAGTTCCAAACTCTCTGCCATGGGCACAGACACCTTCCACTAGACCAGGTTGCTCAAAGACTCATCCAAGGTGAGTACATGCAGGCAGCAGAATCAAGTTCTGAATCAAGGCCAGAGGTAAAGCTTTAGCTGGAAGAATGTTGCTATGTGAGACAAAGCATGGGTTGAAACCCATACTGTTAGTCACTCCCCAGGACTGCAGGAGGGACTCGGTGTTTAGACAGCTGCTGCCCAGATTTCAGGAAATGGTGGGTGATTTGGAGCTTCCTGATTTTCAGATTCCTGACTTAGAGTCTGATTTTCAGAAAAAAAACTCCACAACAAACCACCACACACACAAAAACTTTATAAGGGTTTCACCCACCTAAGCTGGACAACTGCTGCTGCTAAAGAACTCAGCTCACACAGTGAGAAATGCAATTTGCCTGAGGCACCTCCCATTTGTACCAAGAAGGTTAATGTGGGGTTTTTATCAAGGCAAGGTTAATATGGAGTTTAAAAGTCAAGCCTAATCTCCAGGCTCTGACAGCAAACCAGGGCTGTAATGGTAAAAAATGGTGTAAATACCCCTCCACCCCTAAACCACATCATTTTTCAGCCATGGTCAAAGCTGCCCACCCTTTCCCAGGGGCTCATTTTCCAGCAATCACAAACACGCCTGGCTGTGTAGCTCCCTGCCCACAGTTAGTCCTCCATGACCTCAAAATCTGCAGCCAACAACATAATGAGAAAACGAAGCTGTTGGTCCCTGGATGTGCTATGCACCCCATGGAGGACATATCCCATGGTGGTTCTGCAACTTCTAGGGATGACTCCCTCCCCTAAAACACTCCAGGAAAGGGGAACTCCTCCACCCCACACATGTTAAGCAAAGCATAAAAGGCTTGGAGTGGGGTGCTGAGGATGCCTGTGAATGTTCAGCCATAAGGGGTGAAGCTCTGGACGTACCTGCTGTGCTCCCATGTATAAAATTGCTCAAATATCCATTCCAGGCACAGCCAGGCAGCTGAAAAAAGAAATACAGACCGATTTGACCTGGACTGAAATGGTTTTTTTGCTGTCTTGCAGTTCTTTGGCAAGTGCTGCAGGGCACTTCAGGCAGAGCAGTGAGGAAGAACAGGGATCTGCCACAGGAGAGTGCCAGAAAAAGACTTGTCTGGGAATGAGATTTTTTAAATTTCTGTGTCATATTTTGGAAGAAATTCACCCTTAGCCATATATAGTTCAGACTGGATGCCTTCGAGAGGAAACCAAAGCTGCCTACTCTGCTGACCACAGCAAGACTCCTAAACACCTCCCCACACACACAGCCTCTGCACCAACATCAGGACAAGCTATCCCCAAAAGTTCCATTTCTGGGTTTCTTCCAGCTCACTGAAATGCCTTTTCTCCCTCTGCCACATCTTCCCCCCTCTGTATCATGCTGGCACTGACATTCACATCCCTGTCCTGTAGCTCAGAGCGGAGAACTGATGAATGCAATGTGGGCTGAGCTCAGAAATTAATCCCAAACCCGCCAAGCACTGGCACTTAGGAGCTGGCTACCTTCCAAGAGAAAAGAGAACCTTTCCAGGTTTTATGTGCAACTTTGTCTATAAGCAAGAAGCAGAAAACGCACTTACAGAATCTTCTTCTCCTGTTTCCATCCTGCCAGAGGCTTGAATCAGGGTTGTAGGAACGTCTTTCACTTCTGTAAGAGAGTGTGGGCAGGAAATATGAGCTCAGTGTCATAGCCCTGGTTTTGTTTTGTCTTTCCTGGTGTTGATTAGTGGAGGATGATCTCCACCCTTTATCCAAGTACATGTCCCTCTACAACATATACAGCTGCACCTGCACCCAGAGTTGGGCTTTGCCACTTGAAACACCCTTCAGGACTCCAGTGCCTTCTGCCATGGGGACCCACCACCCTTCCTTCAGGAACACAACCTGCTCTGAATAGCAGAAGTCAGGCACCAAGCTAGGGACAGAGAGAGCCACTGGGACCCAGGATCTATGTCACAGAACACAAGGATCACAGGTGTATCCCATGCATCCCTGCATGCACAGGCTGGATGGGGAGAACACCCACTAAACAGTTTGAATTAGGTTTTTCTGGGATGTGCCAGAGTAGAGTCATCCAGACAAGCACACACTCCTGCCGCTTGCTTAAATGTAAGTTTCTTTTGCCCTTCTTGCCATTTGTCCATGCACACTCTCCCTCATCCAACTCGATCCTTCCTTTCTGTTCACCCCATCTCCCCCCAAATGAGCACCTATCCCTAATTTCTTTTTCCCTGTTGATTCAGGGTTTGCTGCATCCCAACCCCAGATGTGGCAGCAAGCTTCCTCTTGTTATTTTGTGTTCTAAAAGCTTTAATTAGTGGAAACATGTGGCATTGCCTGACAGATGATTCCCAGTCTGGCCAGCTCCTCCAAGCAGGATTGGACCTGTTTGGCCTCTGCACTGGGAGGCTCCAGGGGCTGAGACTCTGCTGTAGAAATCTGCATATTTTTCAGGAAATCTGAACAACCCACATGTTACTTGGATGCTGCAGGATCCTCATCCCCTGCAAGAGCAGGAATAGCCTCTGCCAAAGCTGTTTGTGATGAAGTGATTTATTGGAAAAATTTTAGAGTATCACCACTGATGAGTGGTCACCTTCCTGTTTGTTTCCTCATCTCACCACCAAACAGGGAAGTGGGAACACCCTGACTGCGCCAAGGATTTCTCTCTGTGTGTTCTATACACCCCAAACAGCCCTGGAAAAACAGAAAAACAGAGCAACAGCAATGGTCACAGCTCCACATCCAACTCTCCTCATGGTAGATGGATTCAAAAGGAGAAATATGTTATTTTTACCCATTTCCATGTTTGCCACCATCAGCTGCTGCTGCATTTGAAAGAGAACCTGTAGTAAATATGTATGTGCAACATACACACTAGCAGAGAACAAGAAGTCACTCACAAAGCCAAGACACTGGGCAAACACACAGGGCCACCACAGGTGACAGTGGTTTCATTAGCCCAGCAATGAAAATGAAATAAGTTTTTGGGTTTAATTGAGTTTCTGCACATATCACAGAGCTGCAGGGTATTAAATGTGCCTCTGAGACTCACTGGAGAAAGTAGCCCTTGCTATAATTTATTACAAGATTTTAACTCAATTCAGGGGATGGTAATTGCATAGATGTTTTTTTTCCTTTCAGACTGCAGAGCCCTAATGGCTTTGGCAATTGAAGTAAACAGATTACAGGTAATGGGAAGCACATTTAGAGAGATTGGTGGTAGCAAACGGTTGTCTGAGCCACTTTATTTTGTGCTGCCCAAAATACCACGTGTCAGAATGATCCTGCAGGAGCAGCAGCTTTGCCTTCTCCAAGCTTGGAGATAAGGAGGCACAAACACCACAATGGAGCATTGCAAAATTGGGGTTATGGAGAGAAGGACCTTTGGCTGTTTTGCTCTGATGTGCTGCTCTCAGGTTTAGGCATCTTCTGTGGATTTTTTCTTCTGCTCAAGAGTCTGGTTTGCTTAAAGCAGGAGCAGTTTTTAGGTAGTCTTTGGGCATCAAAATCCACTTCCTGGCACACAATGAGGGCAAAGCAAGCTCTGCTTGAAAGCTGAAATTTGGGAAAACATAGTCAATGAGACAATTCACCAGCAGGAAAATTAGACTGAGGTAGAGCCAGAGAAGCTGTGGCCATCCCATCCCTGAAGTGTTCCAGGCCAGGCTGGATGGGACTTGGAGCAACCTGGGCTAGTGTAACGCGTCCATGCCTATAGCAGGGGGATGGAATTAGCGGACTGTTAAGGTCCCTTTCAACTCAAACCATTCTAGGATTCTATGACATCAAGTAGAAGCACTTTAGCAAAGGGAAAAGTCAGAGCCAGACTTTCACAGCATCTCAGACTGGTTGGGGTTGGAAGGCACCTTCAGGATCAATGGAGCAACCTGGGCTAGTGTAACGCGTCCATGCCTATAGCAGGGGGATGGAATTAGCGGACTGTTAAGGTCCCTTTCAACTCAAACCATTCTAGGATTCTATGACATCAAGTAGAAGCACTTTAGCAAAGGGAAAAGTCAGAGCCAGACTTTCACAGCATCTCAGACTGGTTGGGGTTGGAAGGCACCTTCAGGATCAATCCAAACCAACCCCCCTGACATAGAGAGGGACACCTTTCACTAGACCATATTGCTCCAAGCCCCATCCAGCCTGGCCTGGAACACTTCCAGGGACGGGGCAACCACAGCTTCTC